TCTACATTTAGGCCTTGAGTTAAATATCACCTTCCCTCATTAATGTTACAGCGAATAATGTTTGACCTAAAGTTGCCTCCACACATACTTTAAGTTTGGTCTAGGGGGTTCTCTGTACAAAGTGAACTGCAAGCTAACAGAATGTATAAAGAAACTGCAACCTAAATGGAATCCAGTGGTGAAGTCTCAGTCAATCATAGAAGTAGAGCTTTCAACCTGTCTAAAGAATGACTAGATATGGTAAATTCAGACTAACCAATTAAATTGTTTCTATATGTACTTCCTTTACTGTGGCTGAAAATATAGTCTGCCTAGAGGACAGAGCATTCTGAACCATTTTAGAGCCAGACTGCTGCCTGTTTCATGAATTATTTTCTTACAGCATCAGTTTGTAATTTATTTTAAAATTTTTCTTTCAACTACAACCCCGGAGTAGCCTTACCACTTGATAGTATTTTCCTTTCTTCACCTTTCTTTCTCTCACCTAAATGTATGCTGTAGGGGACAAGAGCCCTGAATTCCCAAGACCTGGAACAATTCCTGGCACTTGGCGGGTGTTCCAGAAATATCTGTCAAATAAACAAAGCTGCAGCCTTCTATAATCTGTGATTCTTTTCATCTTACAGATATTTGTAGAAAGCTTAATTATTATGCAAACATGTTCTTTTTAATGTTATGTGATATTAGTTTTGCTTTTGTTCTTCCAGATTTCTCCACATTATCTGATGTGCAATTCCATCTAGCTTTCCATTGTACTTATTTATTCAACTTGAGTTAAACATTTTGTTAGTACTGGGTAGTATATTTATGTATCTACTTTGTATTTGGTACATTTACTTCATTTTTATGTCCTGAAAACAAATATGTGGGTACAAAATCATCTGTTCCATTTTCATTCATCATTGGTAGAGAGCACTGTGGTTTTCACAATCCAAGCATAAATTAAAGCATCTCCTGATTAGAAAATCTGACATGCAATATGAACATATTTCTTTGGTCAGAATTATTTAGTTGTTGCTATTTTTACACAAACATAGCAAAAGCTTTCACAGCTGTGGAAAAGACAGGAAATGATAAAAGGATTTCATGGTTTCTTACTTCTTTTTTAGGAGGTTGAGTGGGGCTAATGAATTTGTATTTCAGTCTTACTTGTTTAACAACATAAAATACACACGCACAAGGTCACCAGAAAGTTCTTCAGTGGATTCTACAAAAATAAGCAAAAAAATAAAATAAACTGGACAAAGCAGTTTTATATTTACAGAGGCTGCGGGTCAGCACATTCAGAGAGAAATATAGCAGTACTACTTCTTACAAATTTTCTTTTTATGGTTGGACATAGAAAAGTCAACTGTAACAATGTTCTGCTTCACTTTGTGGTCACAGATGAAAGAGACCAATAAATCATAGCACAGCTTACTTTAATAAGTCTCAAACTAAGGATTTGTGACTGAAACAAAGAATTACTGGTGTAGCCAGTACAAACAGACAAAAATATTTTCAATGTATTTCCCATTTGTTTCCTCTTATAGCCCAACTCCCAAAATTCTTTAGTCTCAGTACACTAAAGACCACAGATTCTGCAACCTCTCAGTGGTCTTTCCCCATTCCAGAGCACCTTTCTCTCTTGTCCAGTTCTAAATTCCACAGTCCATGGTTGTAATCACTCTTCCCAAGCTCCCTCAACTTGCTATTCCCTTGCTTCTTTTCTCTTGGAAAAACAAAACAGTCCTATTTAAAGCCAATTATTGATCTATCTGGAACCTGAGTCCATGCAAACAAATGAAGTTGGGAGGGAAAAGCAAACAATCAAATGGGCTGGTGGCCAAGAGGAGTTTAGTGCCCCTACCCCCATCTTGACTAAACTTTATTCAGACTTTTTCCTGACTCAAGACTCTGGTTAGTCCTATTCTAAAGCCAGATCTTAAGAAACAAAATAATCAGGGTGCTGATGGCTTATGTCTTTAATGCTAGCTACTCAGGAGGCTGTGATCTGATTATTTTGGTTCAAAGCCAGCCGAGGAAGGAACATCTGTGAGATTCTCATCTACAATAAACTACCGAAGAGCCAGAAGTGGAAATGTGACTTAAGTGGTAGAGAATTATCCTTGAGCAAAATAAAAGCTCAGGGACAGTGCTCAGGCCCTAAATTGAAACTGTGTGTATACACCACAGAGAGAGACAGAGAGACAGAGAGACAGAAAGAGAGAGAGAGAGAGAGAGAGAGAGGCAGAGACACAGAGAGAGAAAACATTATTTTAGCCATGTTGGGGACTGAACCTAGAACCTTACCACCACTCTCAGGCAAGCGCTCTTAGAGCTTTCAGTTTGCTTTTCAGACAAGTCACCAGTTCACTTGGGTGATGTAGGCCTCAAATCTAGATACTATCCTAGGTGGGTTCAGAGTAGCAAGCATGACATTTCTGTAGTAAATTCGTTTATATTCCTGTTGTAAATTTGTCATCCGCCTCTTTGAGATGTATTCACCCAGGGTTGGTTTTCCCACCCTTTCAAGTGTAAACATAGAGATAGTCTATTTTTCTCCCAAATGGGTGAAGAGTGGGAGCCTAACTCCCTTAGGGACAATATTATCAAATGGCCCAAACACAGAGCACAGTTTCCTCCCTCCTGGGGTAAAATTTCCAGTAAACTTTCACTAGCCCACTCCAATATGGAAACACCCTCTTACTTTGCTCCTAGCAGTTGAGGTCAACTTCTTAACCCCACTATAGTCATTTGGAATATAAAGCCTGTCTGTTTAATGTCAATTGTGGATCAGCAACAAGGGAGGCCTTAATGATGTCCGGAAGTGAAACCACATGACCCAATCCCATTTGCTCCTGCATTTTTCTTATACCCATCTCACTGTTGGAACCAATCACACCTCTACACCATCACCTTTCTCAGTTGATACACTTGATACCACTGAGAGAACAGAAGAGAACCAATCAGATTTTCCTTATCTCAGAACACTCCATCAGCTCATTTACCCAAACTGTCCCCAGGTGCAAACGTCCACCATTTCTGTAGGCACAGGACAGTCTACCCTCTGACTATGCAAGAAATGTGTAGCACCTCCTCCCTCATTTTGTCTCCTCCTCCTATAGGATTTCCTGTGTTTCTACAAGCCTTATTTCCCCCTACTCAACCCTGCTTCTCTCCTTACCTTTCAACAAAATTCAGTCCCAAGTTTTGGTGTCTCTTCCTTGAACCATTTGCTTCTCTGAGGTTTTAAGGCATGGGGGAAAAAAGCTTCCATTTTTCTCTCATTTTTCACAGGTTTCAACCCTTTTAATCCTAGCACTTGGGAGGCTAGAGGAGACAGATTGTGAGTTTGAGGCCTGTCTAGGCTACACACCTGGTCTATTGTTCTTCTTGTGATACAGGAGCTTGAACCCAGAGCTTTGTGCATACTAGGCATCATTCTCCCACTCACCTAAATCCTGGCTCCTAGGTTTTTATGAGACATTAAGCTATACACCCAGCCCCCAAATGATTTATCTAGTTTCCTGACTTTCTCCCCATGGCGCTGTAGAAATAAGGTGAACTCTGCTAAGACAGGGAATTTTGTCTTTTTTTTCCCCCTTCATTGCTGCATGCCAAGAGGATGAGAAGGAACAAAATAGACATTCAATAAATAACTATAGAATGGACAAAAACCATCAATACTGAATGAAATCCTGAAGGGCAACAAGACAAATTACTCTGACAATAAAATTCAGATGAGAAAGCACATCCCAGATTACCCTTTGCTCTAGGTTGGCTGTTTGCATCTCATTTTGCTTTTACTTACCAAATTAATTAAATTACCAACTCTTATGAAATACTCCTTAAAGTTCTATTAATCTGATTTTGCCCCTATTTCTGTTTCTTGAGGCTTAAAAACCTTCAAAGTTTTTATCTAACCAGGAGAATTAAACCAAAGTATTTCATTGGACCTATTCTCTGCACTGTCAATAACTTCTGGCACATGGTGCCTTTGAATCACCATATCCTTTTCCTTTTTTCCATCCATTTGGGTCCTAGTTTGTAACAGTCCTTTACAATGCCAACTCCTACTTATTCTGAAGAGCTCAGCTCACTGTATTCTCTCAAGTCTTTTCATTCCTTGTCCCAGGCTATGTTGGTTCGCTTGTTTTATGGTCTTAGTAGTTCATATTTTCTCATTGGCTCATATTTTCACTTCAATTAAATATTAAATATTATGTAACAGAATGATTATTAATGAATCTTTCTTTCATTTGATGAGGATAGGACCGTCCCCATTTCATATCTTGTCATACGTCAAGGCCCTTGATTTATACAGGAAAAACAACAAACACTTACTAGATAAGTGGAAAAAATGAATGTTTTCAACCTACAACAAAGCTTATACATATACAACCTTTTGTTCAACAACTTTAGTCGCTGAAATTTGACTACTGTTGATCCGGAATTGTGCTCATCAATGTAACTAGATAAACTTTCTTCTATTTTTGTCAGTTAAGATTCTCATTGAGGCAATCTGTGAACAGTGGGCTAACTATGCTGTTTCTCCTCTCCTTCCACACCATGGCTTCTCAGATTCAGAGAAAATAAATCTACAGTGACATTTCACATTCAGGCATGCTAACAGAATATAAGCCTAACTGATCATTCCTTTTGTAAGTTTGCTAATCTGAAGCTATAGGCTGGCCATAATTGTAACTTTATACTAGCTGATAAGGAAGAAATATGCCATTTCTCATCCATGGAAGTCAAAGTAATATTACATTTATTGTAACAAAAAGTTTTCTTCCCTCTATGATAGAGTTAATTTGCCCACCGTTACCTGTAAAATGTTGGATATGCTTAGCTGCTTTTTATTTGAAGCCACATATATAGCTCCCCCTAGGGCTAAGAGTGAATTGTAAAAGATCTTTCTGTAGTATGTGCATCATCATCACACAACTAGCTGTGAAAGAAGCCAGGCTACAAGAAGAGGCTCCATCTCAAAATGTTCAAAGGTTAGAAACAATTACCTCTTCGAGGACATCAGCAAGCTTGCTGAGGATCTCTTCAGGAAGGCTCTGGAATGTTGGAACACTGAAAAACAAAACAGAGATCTATGCTGAACACATGGACAGTGGACTACTTAAATGAAGTGGCATTGTATCTGAATGAAAATGCAGAATTATTTCTTGACTAACACTATTTAGATAACAAATAAAGTTGTTACTTCAACAGGGCTCGATTGTCTAACAAGGAAAAGGTGTTCTGTAAAAGAATGAGATTGGATAAAACCAAACTCAAATCACAGTCACACTTTCATTATACTTACAGTCATAGTGACTGTGAGTCTCATCCATAAATAGGAGCCAATCACGTTCTCCCTCATCAGGCTGCTGTCTCTGAATTCCTTCCAGCTCCTCTTCCTCCTTTTTCTTCATACACACCTTTCTCTAGGCCATTTTTTTAGTAGCAGTAAATTGAGCAATGGACTCAGTGTCTCAGTGTCTTGTATGGCAGGTACTCTACTCCTTAAAGCTCAGCGCTAGTTTATTTGTTTGTTTGTTGTTGTTGTTTGTTGTTGTTGCTTATCAAAGAGTCTCATACTTCTGCCCAGGGCCAATCTTGGACCATAACTCTCCTACATGTATCATAAGAGTAGAAGGATTGACAGAGATGCACTAACACACCTGTCTTGTTTTATGGGCTAAGGTCTTATTTAGTTAGTTTATTATCGTTAAGTAGTTGACAAAAAAGGTGCTATTTGACAAATCAGTTTACGAATACAATGCATCTTAATCAGTGTCACCACCTTCGACATTCTCACTCCTTTTGTCCCAATCCTTTCCTTGACTTTTCTTTTTACTTTTTTTTTTTTTTCCAGGGCTGAGAACCGAACGCAGGGCCTTGCGCACGCCAGGCGGGTGCCCTTCCACTGGGCTAAACCTCCAGCCCCTCCTTTACTTTTCTTAATTTTGAAGTCTATACAATGAATTCTTGACTGCATTCTCCCTTCCTTCTCAAACCATGATCTTATCTCCACTTTCCAAGTAGCTGAGATATAAGCCACAGTGCCAAGACTAAATCATTCTTTAAGACACAATTTTATTAATACATTCAGACTAGCAAGCATTCATACAACTTTGAATAAACTTCCCACTATATTCAAATTTTCCCCATCTGCTTCAAGTTCTCGTAGTATGTTATTTTTGTCCTTACCTAACTTAGAGCTTTAGACAACTCTATTACTCCCCAAAGTATATCTCCAATCTTATTAAGAAATATTTTACTCTTTACTATGGTTGTAGTCATAGCATTTAAATACTATTCCTTTTTTCATATCTTCTCTGACAGAATAAAAACACTACCAAGATAAGAATTACATCTGCCTTGCTCAAGTCTATTTTCAGAAACTTACAAATAATGTACATAGAAGCATATGTTGAGTAAAGCTAAGAAAGCATAAGTATGTGAATACCACATGTTAGTGATGACAGGAAAAATCTGAGATATTCCAATTTAATTACAATTGAAAGTTAATCACAAAGGGCTACACAGAGGGATGGCAAGATGGCAGATGAGGGAGTGGAGGAATGAATTATCCCACCCTTCTTATTAGCAGCAAAGGTTTTTCTTCCCCAGAATTACCAAATATACTTTCAGCTCCAGTCCAAAGGACTTTTTCCAGCCCTTGCCAACCCCTGCTGCTGCTAATTGCAAGAACTTGGCCCAGGATCTGATCCTTCCTTTTATTTCTGACTAGCATCTGTAATGGTGCCAGTAAACCCTTTTATTTCTGATTCATTTGGTCTTAAGAATTTGGGTTTGCGAACAATTCTTAGGATAAGATAAAGCAGGATAGAGCAAAGGGCTAGACCTAAGACACTGGAAAAGGTTAATTCCCTTCAGCTCTTTCTGTTCTCTTATTTTTCTCCATAGAGAAGCCAGTGACCATATTAAATGAGTTGATTGCACACATCAATAAATCATTTTTATGTGAAATGAATTGACTTTCAATGTTTTTTAAATAAGCCAAACTCGGGGCTGGGAAGGTGGCTCAGTGGTAGAGCGCTTGCCTTGCATGCATGAGGCCCTGGGTTCAATTCCTCAGCACCACATAAGCAAAAAGAAAAAAGCCGGAAGTGGTGCTGTGGCTCAAGTGAGCACTAGTAGAGCACTAACCTTGAGCTGAATAGCTGAGGGACAGTGCCCAGTCCCAGAGTTCAGGCCCCACAACCGGACCCAAAACAAATAATAAATAAATAAGCCAAACTCATCCACATATATTTCCTATAGGAAACCTGTAGGAGACCAGGAAAATCTAACTGGAACGTGAAATTAAAACCTCACTAAAATTCATCGCAGTGCTTGAATGGAGAGAGCTATAAATAAGTCCATATACATTTGCACTCTGATATCTAACTTGTCAATTGCATATTTCTGGCTTGAATAGAGTAACAAAATGAAAGAAGCCTTTAAATTACCATTTTGATATAAGCATGAAAGTTTGACTGTTAATTTGTCATTCTAATTCCCATTACTTAGGGTAAAGACTGCTGATAAAAATCCCAAGATATTCTGTAGAGGTGTAACAATTCACCCAGGACCATCTGTTTGCCAGATTTACTGCCATGGTCTGAGCCATGTGGGTTTTAATTTCCAGAAGGCAGTCTATTTCAGCAGCTGGAAGGAGCACATTACAGACAGGAACAGGGAAGATAGAGGAAGCTGTTTCCCTGAGTTATACAGGTAGAAAAATCTAGCTCTTTCTTGTTCTTTTAATGAGCTCTAGTTCAGCTTCTTCTGAGATATTAGATTAATTAGATTGTTTCTATTCCAGTGGGCATTTGTGGAAAATACAAACTACAAGTGAATTTTTATAATTGGATTCCATTTTTAGCAAGTTCTATTACTTGTCTGTGACAAGATTTATTTCAATTTTAGTGTGTCTGTGTCAAACCATATACAATGCATTTTCTTTGTCATAAGAGCTATTGTCCTTAAGAAAAAGGTATTACTGTGACCACATAGCATATTAAATGAAAAGAGAAACATTAGAAGCTATGAAAACATTTAAAATAATTACAGTTTTAAATTAGTTTTTAAATGCTTCAAAATATTAAGCAGCATTTATTATAACAAAAAAGGACTTAAAAAAAGACAATCACTCTAGAAAGCGACCAGTAACGTCTGGACTTAAATAAAAATCATTTCACAAGAAAGCAAGTGTTTTCCCCTTTATAAATTACTCAGGGAACACTTCTAGAGCCATTTTAGAAACCTAAGGTTTCCATCCTTCATATACTAGATACGGTCTGTCATGAAATTAATTTGTTTTTCTAAGAATGATCAATCTTCAAGGAGCTTAAACACCAAGTAATAATTAAAGACGTTCATAATTTGAAACTATACTCATGAAATGTATTACTCGGCTTTTGCCAAATACATCAGGAGCCATTATTTGAGATTATACTTATTTGTATACGTAAGTCAAGATAAAGCTGTCTGATTTAGATAATATAAGGAAAATAAGTGGATGATATCAGGTACTAAGGATTTTCATGACCATAAGATAAATAATAGATGTAAACCATTCTTAAGGCACATGGCACATACTAAATAGCCATAAAATGACTTCAGTAGCCATAAAATTACATATATATGCATGCATACATATACACATATGCATTTCTTATTATTATTGTTTAAGACATTTTAGAAATTTTAAATTTCTAATGTGTCACAGATGACTCACAGACTATATTCAAAAGTGATGGAAATATCTATCATCACTCAAAAAATCAAATTATATTTGACTTGGAGTACAAGCCCTTCTTTTTTCAGTGAGATACTTGAGTCCTGCATTGTTTAGCTCTTTCCTTAGTTGTGTAGAGCACAAAAAGCAAATTAGTCTTAAAAACCTGTAGAATTCCATTGTGTATATGTACACATGACCAAATAAGATGATATTAAATGAAATGAACTCCAACATATGGAAACAAGAGGTTTGTTTTTGTTGTTGTTGTTTTTAATGTACTATGTGATTTCTTTTTTCTTTTGTGCTCTCCCCCCCACACACACACACTATAGTTTATCCCCTGTTGTCACTGTATTTGATTTTGGTACCCTGTGTATTGTATATATGTTTACCTGAATTAGGGAAGGCAAAGGGAACTCAAAATGGTGAGACAAAGGATAAAGGGCCAAAGAATGAAACAGTTATACTTACAAGACAATATGTTGGAAATGAACTGTACAACTTGTGGGGGGGGGTGAGAAAAATGAGGGAGGAGGTCTCAAGTTCGACAAGATATTACTACCTGAAGTATGTAAGTGTAGTCCCTGTGTACATCCCCTTGACAATAAAATTAACTTTTAAAACAAGCTGGAAAGTAAAGCATCTAAGCTCTTTCCATTAAAATAACAAAAGACCCCACTCTCTACCACATTTATTCACAAAGAGGGAGACAACCTTTGGTCTTGCTTGACACCCTGGAGCTGCAGGTCAACTACTAGGCAATTCCAAGCAGAGAAATCGACACTTGGAAAGCTGTCTCCATAGGCTTTGTCTTTCTTGATTGCTTGCTTCCTTCCTTCCTTCATTCCCTCCTCTTCCTCCTCCTCTTTCATCTTCTTCTTCCTCTCCTTCCCTCCTCCTCCTCCCCCCTCTCTTCCTCCTTCTTCTTCCTTCTGTTCCCCCTTCTTCTCCTTCTCCTTCTCCTTCATCTTTGTCTTCATCTTCTTCTTCTTCTTTTCTACAGAAACTCTTAATAATCTCTTCAAATAAATTTGGCCTTTTAAAACAAAGAAGGAAATTGGTATTTTCTGGAGAAGGCCTGACAATTTGTTTGGAAAGGAGAAAAGGTGGTTTATAGGGCAAAATATTTCAATACTTTATATTTGAATACACTCTTCTCCAGTTCCATCCTCAACATGTTCCTCCCCAGCTCCCAGGTAAGCAACCTCAGTATGCCACAATATTCCCAAATACACCTATGCAGTCATTGTGTGGGCGATGCTCAGACACCAAAGTGGGCAAATGACAGGGCAAAAAGAATGAAGCTGAGAAAGAGGATAGAACAGAACCAGTATGAGCT